TGGCCTTTCCACTCAAGTCCATCATGTGATTAGAAGAGTTCCATCGCTTTAGAGATGAACGCAGAAACAAAAAACTTATTCATATTTCTTGGTATGCATGATTCACTTGATTACTATATATATCTCTATTACTCATTTTCATCGAATTTCGTATAATTTGTGAATAAAAATAAAATAACTCAAACCTATTATAAATGTGCTTTTTATACTTCATTATATTTTAAGGTAATATTCATTGAGTAGTGATTACATTTTCCATATATATATATATATATATATATATATATATATATATATATATATATATATATATATATATATATATGTATATAAAAACCACACACTGCGGTTTCTTTTTAAAGTCGAGCTAAATTAGTACTGATGTAAAATTTACCCCGTTATGGAAATTTCAGTAATGGATAATTCCAAAGGGATGAATTCTCTTTTCAACTGAATAATTAATTTAGGAAAGGTTCTCTCATCGTGATAATTAGTGAATTGCATTATTAAAACTAATGTGATTTATTAAACAATGGAATAATTAATGACAAACTTTTTAAATTCACTGGATTCTTTCCTCTTTTTTCTGAATTATAATGATATTTATAAAAATTTATATAAAATTCAATGATAACAAAATAGCGATAAACAAGATATATTTCCAAAAGTAATGAACCGATTATTCTGCAACTTTGCATACTATTTTATCAAAAAAATTATTTGGCATTTCATACTTGTTAATATGTTAAGTTAAGTTCCTGAGGAGGGTGGCAGTGCCGTTGAAACGTAAAGAATAGTCTTTTATTTTAATTACTAAATACCGCCGGATAATAAATTCAAAATAATATAATAATTATATATAATTTTTTTATCTAATTACTTACTTTGATTTAAAAAGTATTTTACTTGTTATATCCATGTATAAAAGTACAAATAGTGTGATTTACAGTTTCTCGTAATTTTCTATATTTTCTGTCAGTACCCACTTTCTGTCTTATCTGGTGTATATATAAGTTACGCCATCCCCCTACAAGAAGGCGGCGTTCGATTAGCAATTGATGACAATACAACGCACCTGAGAACCGGCAAGGATTAACTTCCGTGAACTCTTGAACGAAGCATCGTTTCTTGTGTACACGATTCAGGGCATCAACAACCTTATTGTATAGATGAAGCAAAAGTATATAGTTAAACTACTTCTTCGCAAAGTTCTTTTAGCAAAGACGATCATCAATATTTCATGAATATACTCCTTTAAACGAATGAGTATTTTATCGTCTTTAGAAATTTTCCATCGCGTGAATTTGTAATTTACCTTGTTTCAAAATTGTTCTAATTCAAGTTAATGTTATTTATCCATCTATGTGAAATATGTAATAGAGAATTTTAATTATAAAAAAATTATGATTCCTTTAAATGTATTTAATTTGTTCAAGGAGAAAAAAATTAGTTCCATACAGTTATTAGTTAGCTATTCCAACTGAAATTAACTGCTACTATATGGATGTCAATTTTATTAACTATTTCAGTTACTTGATGTTAGCTGTGACAGTTAAACTGTTTGCTAAAATAACAAATCACTACTAACTGCCTAATATTATTTGTTGCTTTAATTGCAATATAGTATAATTTATATTATAAAACAAAATTATAAAGTGCAAGAAATAATAAAATTATATACACATTTAAAAACACTTGTAACACGTACTTTGTAATTAACGCTTCATTAAGTCATTAAGTTGCCGCAAGACTCAAGACTTTTTGAAATGAGACTACTAGTGACAAAACCAAAACAAGCGGGACCATTTGTCTTGTCGGCTTATTCAAAACGAGACAAGATCAACATACTGCACTAATTAGTTGCAATATTGTGCTTCTAATTAAATTTGAGCGAAATCTGATCGAATTCGCTCAGAGTTTTATTGAGCTAATCCGCCAGGGGCTGAATAAAATATAAATAAGTATTACGAAAAACTTTATGAAGTATAAATAAATTAATTTTATTTCTTATAAATAAATCATATTCCCTAATTGTCTTAATTAAAAGTTTAATAAATGATTTTTCTTTAAAGTGTTTAATTTTATTAATATGAATTATAATTAGGGTCAGTTGGGGTAAATGGGGACAAAATCGCTATTTTTCACAAATTACGTAAGTTTCTTCTTTTAAAAGGTACTTAATATTTGTGGGTTTATTTTTTTTAAGTTGTTATTTACATTTCCAGGCTTAATTTTATGCAGCAGAAAAAAAATTAGATAAGCTTTAAACGCATGAAACTGACTGTCCCCATTTACCCCAAAATTTAGAAAATTTCATGGAGTAGGTAAATGGGGACAGCACAGTTTCTAAGAAAGTTTTAAGAAAAAAGTTTCCTTAAGTTTCCTTAATATTACTGTATTAAGGGATGAAAAAACGTGAAAAAATTTGTAGCAGATATATAATAGTTGAACCAATTGAAATTTTTTTATTTTTTGTTTATTTCAGTATTTTGTCTCGCATTTGAAAAAAACCAGATTAAAAAATCATACCAAACTTTTTTCTTATTCCTTATGACTCCTATAACAGAAATTCACTTGAATATTTGATTTTTGATAATTTGGGTAATAATGATAAGCTGTCTCCATTTACCCTAAAAATTTGAAAACTCATGGTAAATGGGGACAGCTTGTCATTACTAACCAAATTGACAAAAATCAAAAATTCAAGTGAATTTCTGTTATAAGAGTCATAAGGAATAAGAAAAAAAATTTTGTACGATTTTTAAGTCTGTTTTCTTTTAAATGTTCGACAAAATACTAAAACAGTTTGACTTTGAATTTCAAGTTTTTATACATTGAGCGATAACTTTTTTTATCTTGCTACCAATTGTCAAGATATAAGCTTGTCAATACTCAAAACCTCTTGCAGGTAATCTGAAGTTAAAATATTGACGTTGAACTTAATTTTAAAACTGTGAATTAAGCTCCAAAACCTCTTGTCCCCATTTACCCCAACTGGCTCCTCTAATAACACAAGATATCTTGGGATATATTGATAATATCCCGCAGATATACTAGGGATGTCCTATGGATATCAAAAGGATCTCTTAAGGATATCCAAAAAATCGGCGGTTTGGATATCCTTTGTATATCCCATGGATATCTTAGGATATCCACAGGATATCTTCTGGATATCTCTATAGACTTTCATAAATGTCCTCCAGATATCCCACAGATATTTTCAGGATATTCTCAGTATATCTTCTGGATGTCAAGAAGATATTCTCAGGATACTGTTTTTAAAGTCATTATGAGACTACGAGTGAGAATATTCTGTGAATTAAATTTTATATAAATAAAATAAAATGCAACTTGTTTTTCGAGAAAGTTGTTTAATTTGAAAAATTATTAACTAATTTTTTTCTCATTCGTGATTCATTCCTTTATTCATATGCTTAATATTGTCAGAAAATAAATTGGCTTTAAACAATATAAATTCTTCCCCGCAAATAACGAATAACTATTAATATTAATTATACATTAAGTGCATGAGTTTATTTAAAAACTTTAAAAAATGCGTTTCAAATCTTCATTTAAAATAAATTAGAAGCTCATAAGATTTTTGTTTTTATTATATTATTATTCATTATATTAGCTTAACAATTTTAACCTTTAAAAATATATGTTGAGATATTAAATATCCCGTGAATATCCTAAGAATATCCCACAGACATCCTGAGGATATCCCATGGATATCCTGCGATATAATATCCAATAGATATTTTGTGGATGTCTTAGGGATATCCTGTAGATATCCTATGGATGTCCTGTTGATGTCCCACAGACCGGCGGTTTGGATATCCTAGGAATATCCCAAGATATCCTGGGGACCATTCTAGGATATCGACCATTGATATGGATATCCTATAGATATCCTAGGGATATCCTTTTGTTATGAGGGTATATTTAGAAATTATTAAAATTATTATGTTTGACTTTATTTATCTAAAACAAATTCTTCCCATTTTTGTCAAATATTTTCATGCCTTGAAAAAATAAACATGAAATGATTCCTCCATGCTCTATAAAGACGCAATGTTGTATATTGTTGTTTAAAAATAAAAACTTATTTATTTTTAATTAATTTTAGGTTTCTGACTACTTTCCTTTTCGATTAGAGACAGATCATTTCGGGAACGCTTAAAATGCGCGTGATGTCTTAACAAGTATGAAGTGCCAAATATTTTTTTTTGGTTGTAATTAAAATTTACTTACATTAGTAACATTTGCAAAAGATGAATTTGTGAATGTGAATAAAATTGAGGCCGATGATGATTTAACACGTTAACAAGTCTGAAATGCCAAATATTTTTTTTTTGGTACTAATTAATTTACTTTCACTAGTAACATGAATAATAATTTAATATATTATTTCACGTATTCGTTAGTGATTCTTATAGGATATATTTACGCGCGATAACTTAACAATTTAACAAGTATGAAATGCCAAATAATTTTTTATTACTAATATTATAAAGATCTATTTTTTTCTTTTCTATAAATGCTTAGAAATGTAACCGATCAACGTAAACGTAAACAAACTAATTGATGACAAAAATATACAGGGTTATGTTCATATTGCTTGCTAATTCAGAGAGTACTTTTGAGACTCTGCCTATGATGAAAATTAAGGATAATTAGTAAACAGAGTGTCACACATCACTTTTCCTTGAAATGCCTTTTGTTTTCATCCTTTTCTTATATGTTAGCCGCAAAGCAGGAAGTACTTGAGGGAAAGTCATAGGTGAAAAGATTCTTGGTCACGGTCACAGTGGTGGTATGAGGATTGATGTTGTGTGCATTGCATATATATATATATATATACATCAGGTGGGATTACAAAAGGTGCGTAATCACCGCACATGCATGTTGGTGTATCTGAGAAAAAGGAAGAAGGGAGCAATGAAAGATGGAAAAAGAGAGGTATATATATACATATGGAGGGGTGAGAGGAAGTTAAGTTTGGTAAGGTGAGGGCTCCTACGGGTGAGTACCACTCACTCATTGACTCGTGTACGCCCGCACGTCCGTCTGTCGGTCGGTCGGTGCCCACCTTCAATTCCGATTTACTCACTCACATTCATTCGTTCATTGCCAACTCTGTGCTTACCATCCGATTCTTACGCGAGAGTATCGAATTCAAACGATCGCGATATTTATTTTGTAATTCGATAAAGTAGAAACAAAGAAAATTTTTTTTATTTCTTAAGGAATATGTGGTTTTTCGGATCCTTCACCATCATCGTTATTTTTATCATTTCTTTTGCTACCATTCGGATTCAAGGGAGACCACAACAGATCAAATCAGGTAAGGGGTTTGACACTTTTTTCCTCTTCTTCATCTTCTTCTTCTTTCTTCTTGAGATCGATATCGCCCTCACCAGGAAATGGGAAGATGATAATCTGTCTGGTTTCATAATCAAGTACTATTTTCCTTTGTAAAGCAGATTTATCTTGAAAAATTCCAAAAGTTTCCATTCATATTTCAAGTATTATTTAATATTCATTGTTTGGTTTAATTTTCTTAATTATAAAATTGAGAAATTTTCTTTTATATAAGTGATTTATAGGGAACAATTTATTTACGATATTGTATAATAAACTATTATAGTTGTTGAAACTAATTACCATTAGGTTGAACTAGTCTGGAATAATTACTATCTGAATTTTGAAGTTATTGAAAACTGATTTCGATTAAAGGGAAGTGGTTACAGTTGGAAAGGAGAGACACACCGAGGGGGAGAAGAGTTACTGCTGTCAAATGTAGCAAAGTTGCGCGACAACTTGTCAATTAGTGAGACACTTTACTCTTCTTCGATGGTCATCTATCAGGGACAAACGTACCGCGGTATTCACTAAAGCGCAATACATATATACCAAACAATGTCAATTGATACTAGAATAGTTGCGCTTGTTTTCATTTCATGTTTCCATCAATAACTCAACTTTGAAAGTCCGATTGTACTTCAGTCTTCTCGTGTCGTTTTTCACAAAATGGAAAAGTCAAAGTACAAATTGTGCTTGCTTTTTCTACTATCAAGCTTCGTGATTGATCAACGATAAATGCAATATTTTAATGGCTTTGAGTTTATACTTTTTGCAAACAAAAACGTTTTCGTTTTTTAGTATTTTATGATTTGTAAAATAAATATTATTTCTTCTCCCCATTTTTTTTTAACATTTTTTACATATTTAAATTTCAACTTTACATATAGAGATAATTTATCAAATATTTGTAATTAATTAATGAATGATAATTTTCTACACTTGTTTATAAATGATGGTCGAATTTTGGACTTTAGAAAATAGAGGAAATAAATGAAAATATGAATGACTATCGGGAATCGATAATTGTCACTTTGGTACTTTAAATAACCCTTTGAGCCTGTAAATAATCCCTTCGATCAATGTAAATAACACTTTGTTTCTATCAAATTATTTGGAAAATGATTCAGTGGATTTTAAAGGGTAAGCTTATATATCAGAGAATTAAAAATTGTTTCGAAAATATAACTATTGTAATATTTTACAATAAATTATGTTTTTGATATACTTCCTGCAGAGAAAATTATTTAGATATTCGGAACGTTGGAGTAAACTAATTAAAACTATTTGTCCGAATGTTTTTTGTAACGTTAGTAAATAAATTTTATTTATTTATTTCTAATTGAAAATTTTCAAAATTAATGTTATTGTTCAAATAAATTTATTTATTCTCTTCACAACACAAATAGCCGGTAAGAGAAGTCACTATCAAAAATACTCCAATCGTTTATATTTTAATTTTGTGGGATCAGTGACCCTCTCCTTATCGTGTTTCTTGCCAAAATGGAAATTAAATAAAAATAGTAAAGAAAAATTTAATTAACAATTTATTAAATTTTATTTTTGTCAACGGACGTTTTTCTTTCCTTTAGTATAATATTTTCAATTTTGTTTATAAAAAATTAGAACGATACAGTTTTCATTTATTGTTACCGACAAACTAATTCCTTAGACTACCAGCTCAGCCGGGAATAGTTGAATTTCGATTTTTCCTTGGTTGAGATGAGCAAAAAAATTTATAACTTACACTAAATATCACTTAAGATTGTTCGATTTAAATTTTAATTAAATTTCTATTGGTTAACTTCTCAGAATGACGGATAGAATTTTAATTATTTTAACTTTTCAATTCTACAAGCTTCTTCTTAAAAATTCGCCTTTGAAGTGGAACCTTTACACACAGAGGCAGAGATTATCTCTTTTATTGAAAACTCACAACAGAACACAGAAAATTAAAAGGAATTAAAATAAGCTCCAACGCTTATTATTTTAATCCAATTTTGCTTATTTTAATACCAAAATGGATTAAAATAAGCAAAATTGGATTAAAATAATAAGTGTTGCAGCTTATTTTAATGCCTTTTAATTTTCTGTGAATGGAAAATTAAGAAATTTCTCGCGACGTTATCTTACTAAAAGTTGTTGTCTCGAAAACTGCAAATTATTACTGGCTATACATTGATTTTATTGAGTTGCAATTAGATGCGTCTTAAGTGAGGATTTAGTGCTTAAAATGCATTTAATTATATTTGTACAAAATAGTAAACGCAAGCTTGCATTTAATATATTGAAATTTATTCAGGAATAGAATACTTGAGGTCAATGATTTGAGTATTACTCAAAGATGTCATAAATTTTAATTTTCTGTAACTGTATTCCTTTTATTCTTTTCTGCTAAACCACAATTTTGTGATCGACTGTGGTTGCTCAAGATCCGTGCAAGGTACATATGAACTTTTGTAGTTGCATTTTTGTATAGATGTTGCGTATATTTCGTACAATATTGCGAAAACATTTGGATGTTTTTTTTAAACGAATTAGCTTTTCCAGAAATTTTGAATATTTTCAACTCTTCCTATGGTTTACAATTTAAAGATCTTGCATATTTATGCACAATCGTACACACACGCACACTGAAAAAAAGGTTTGGTATTAACAACCAAACGTTTTGTTGGTATTTAAGCAACCAAAATTTTTTTGTTGAATCAACAAAATTTTGGTTGTCCCAATTAAACTTTAGTTAGGACAACAAAAATCGTTTTTTTTTCTAATTTTGGTTGTGTCAAACAAATTTTGGTTGAGAAAATTAAAATTTTGTTGATTCAACAAAAAAAATTTTGGTTGCTTAAAGACCAACCAAACGTTTGGTTGTCAATACCAAACCCTTTTTTTCAGTGCATACATATGCATTATTTAGCAAATCAGCAAATTCCATATCACCTAGGTTTGTCATTTTAATTCAATAAAGAAGGAATAATTTCTTTTCTATTCGTTCGTTACATTTTTTATTTTTATTTCTCTTTAATAAATTATTTTATAATTCAATAAGTTTAAAAAGTTCTACCATTGATTTAATTTTTTGATGAGTATGTTGAACTTTTTCCATTGTTGTTAGAATATATCCAGATTTGGGTTAGAGAAGGGAATTCAAATTATATAATAGATAATAATAAAGAATAAAGAGAAAGAGGAAAAGTTGTGAATTATGATTGGTCACAGTATTCATTTAACTGGTATGTAGTCACAGCACAACGTTCATCCTAATTACTTGTACCGAGAACATATATAATAATGCCTCGACGAGAAAGAGCGAGAAAGAGAAAGATGGGAAAAACTAGTACAAATTATCTGGCAAGAGAGGAGACGAAAGGAATAGGGTACAGAAGTCAGTTGCTCTCGAGAGTCGTGAATGATTTTTTTGCCTTTTGACCACTATAACTAAATGCCAGGTTGACTAATGTCGTCGTTTTTCCAACTGTTGTGTGTGTGTGTGCGGAACTATCGTGACAGCATTAGTGAAAAGGACGCGTTTTAACGAGCATACGACATTGATCTAACGATGATCGCAACCAAAACGGTAGCACTGAATCCAAGGGATGGTTCCTTATGTGTACCATTCATTTTGTTATTATATAATAATTAGTACTCTATTTAATATAACTACCTGCAACATGCCCTTCTTACGTTTTTTATGCCAAGAGCGTAAAAACTTATTAGCAGAACAGTTTGTATAAGGAATAAGTGATTTTAAAATTATTTAATGACTTTTTTCCACTTTTGGAAATCAAATTCCTACCAATTGCTAAGAAAGTCAGAGGATCTATTGATCTGGGATAAAATTTATAAAGTTACCTTGGAATAGGTCCTAGGTGAGCCATGGATCTAAAAAGTTTTTTGTTAGGAACCTCTACTGTCATGGGGTACAAATTATCTACATAGTTCCAAGTAAAGCAGAATCAGTGATGGAAATTTGTTAATTACAGTCTTCTGCGGCAAATCGAAGCTTGCTATATATATATATATGATGCGTTAACTCATAGAATTACTAGGATCGGCAAAGCCATAATTTGTTGGGAGTGGATGGGTCTCTTTTGGCGGGAAACGAGAACGAGGACACAAAGGAAAGTCGAGGGAAGTGTGTAGAGAAACCCAAGAGGAAGAGCAAAAGTTTCTTCCACGGGGTGGTTACTTCGTGACCAACGACCAACGATAGATATAGAAAGAGAGAGAGAGAGAGAGAATCCAAGGGTGTACAAACATAATCTCTTTTCACATTTCTCACTTACCGTAACCACCAACTTTAACCCCACTATATACTGTCTTTTCCGAGTTAAACCCCCTGGTAATTTTAGGATTATCGTATAACGTGACGAAGAATCGGGGATACCATGTCGAGAACCCATGTCGTCGGTTCTTCGTCCACACACCTGTTTCCATTCACAGCTCTTTTAAAAGTTTAAATATAGGTTAAAAATTAGGAGTTTGATTCCCATGATATTTCAAGGGAAATTTAATGTATTTGTTGATAAATGTTTGCAATAACTGAAAATTATTTATCAAATTTTTTCTAAATTACACAGAATTGTATAATTTCTTTTTGTAATTACACAACTCAACTATATCAAAACAAAAGGTATCTCAAGGAAAAGTGATGCGTGACCATCTGTTTACTAATTATCTTTAATCTGTCCTCATAGACAAAGCATCAGAGTACTGTTTGAATTAGCAAGCAATATGAACATAACCTATATATTTTTGCTGTCAATTTATTTGTTTACGTTGACCGATTAAATCTCCAAGCATTTATAGATAAGATATTTGTGTTGTCGTTTCGTTGTCCGTCAAATTTTGTATATTAATATCAAAAAAATGTTTGGCATTTCATACTTGTTAATGTGTAATAGATTGGTTTACTATCAAGAATCACAAACATATATGTGAAATAGTATATTAAATTATTATTCATATTACTATAGTGAAAGT